ACCAAGAGCCAAATGATTTCCAAGACTTTTCCCAAACTTTCTTGCATTTTTTCAAAACATTTTGACCCTTAATTCCGGCCAACATGATAGAAGGGCGCGAGGATAGCAATCACTGCCGACCCTTGTGGGAACTGGGGTAGAAACACTTTATAAAAAAAAGACTCTATGCAAAAAAACGAGTCTTTTTTTAAAATGAATTACCGGTAATAACTACAGGGGTATGAAGAAATTTAAAGACTTTTCATTTTTTTATTTTTCCTGTAATTTAAAGACAACTCAAAAACTTGGATTTTCCCAACCCTGTCTTATTTAACTCAATAAAATATTCACACTATAATCATTCAATATTTTGGGATAATTCAGAATAAATGTTGCATTTTAAAATCTCTGATATAAATAATAATGGAGCCCAAATTAGGTTTAATTTCACAAAATACAGTAGCCTTTTATGACTCACATTAAGTAGCTAGAGCATCACAATACGAACAGAACTCTGAGTGGTGTCTATTCAATACAGATGAATCATGCGATACAAATGAAACAATTTATTTATTGTGTTCATTTGATATGGATGAATCACAGTTTACAAATTAAATGATATATTTAGTACAAGCCAGGCATTGTAGATACATGACGTAATTCAGGAGTCAGTTACTTATAATAATTAACACATTTATAACTATATTCACATAAAAGGGCAATAGCCTGTTTGAATCGTGTTGATTTCTCATACCACAGTGCTGTTTAAACTTAATGTGAAAACAATGAATTTTATGTACACTGCAATAAATATGCTGCTTTCCGCATCTAAAAATCGCTATGTCACATTTGTTAGGTTGCCTTTGCTATGCCGCCAATGGTTAATCACTTTGAAGGGTATTGACATTGTCAAAAAGTAAACTGGTGAAATTCAGAAAGTAGAAAATACATGTACTCTGTGACACTAAAATAAATATTATTATGTAAAGACAAAAACCAAGTCCTGTAACATCAAGGTATAATAACAGTAAGGTTTCATTTTAAGTGTTTTTAAAACAAAAATCATCAAATTTTTTTAAACTAGAAAGAGCCAAAATATTAGGGTTGTACAAACCAGTTTATTACCTAATCATACCTACCAGAAAATCCGTAGAAATAATAAGTTTCATTTATTAATCGTTAGGCTTAATTACAACCCCTCCCCCATAATAATAAATTGTTACACATATCTCACAAAAGCTATCATAATAACCTGGTTAAATTAGTTTTAATCAATATCTTAGTGAGTTGATACATATCCATTTGGCTGCCAGTGTAATTTCCACACCAGTGGAAGGTATGCAAGTAAGCATTACTGTATGTATGAGTGAACTCACAAATGAGACACACTGGACTTATCTATTCAAGTCAGTAGATGTACAAAGGTAGATGATCATAGTAGGCAAGTGGGATTAATCTGAGGTCATCTAGCAATTCTAATTATGCAGGCAATAAATTAGAGTAGACTGTTAGTGATGCCAGCACACTGGTACTACAGGACCTAGAAACCCGGAACAGAGAATCATATTGCCAACATCAGTGGCCTCTGAAGGGAACAACTCATGGATTACATAAAACACAGCTAGCTAAGAATGCCTTCCAAGCAAACTGATACACAAAGAATTGATTTAATAACAAACAAGCTGCAGGTAAATTGAGGTCTAATCAAGATCGACTGTTTTGTTTGTTGGGAGGCTCTGACGCTGTCTGTATTGCCAGCGTTTGATGACATTTCCAATATGAAAAAAAAAAACACCTTATGATTACCTCAGCATAATCATCACGCTCTTTGACAACTCTCTTAAGATGTTCAAACATGTTTCTAGCTAAGGCGTCCAGCTGTTCCAGTGGGATTTCAGTCAGCTCACTCCATTGCATACAGAACACATTTCCAGTATTGTCAGTTATCTAGGGATTAAAAAGGAATGATAAAATGTAATGATGAATCAACAGATAATTAATTCATTAACATTAGTGTAATCTACAATATTAATCGCATTTATTAATTAAATCAGATATAAAACATTCCTTTTTTTACACCAGGGAATACACTTTCATCAAATTATCATTCATGTATGTATTATTTACGAAATGCTACTCAGACACTAACTATGTGTATATACTCTCGGCTGATGGCTCCATTCAAGGTGGTTTGTATTAGTATCAATACAGATAGTGAGATACAAAATATTTTGGATATTAAGTGTTATTATAAGGCTATAGTGATGGTTTTTAAGCTAGGGCTCCTCAATCCCTGTGATGGCTTCATAGAATACTATTGTTATTGTTTAAGCAACTAATCTATTAGTCTATTGTTTCCCATTACTTCCCAAAAAACTAAATTTATTGATAAGTATCCAAACAAAAACAAATTTCGCTATTGAATGCTTTACTGTGTCTTACTCATATATAGTAGGCTGGAATTTCATGAACGAATAGTGACTTTATGACCAGTTTAGCTGATTGTTTGTTCAACCTAGATGAGGCCCTGCACTATGACTATTTTCAAGTCAAAGTAGTCATCAGAAAAGCCATAATAGAAAAGGGAACAGAACATTAGTTTCCATGGCAACAAAGCATTATAATCTAATGCACTGCAGTAAGCTCAGATTGTGTGCAAGTTATTTTACTTCCTGTGATTTCCAATGTAAGATGGTTTTTGTTCTGTCATATTTACAAAGCAATATCCATGTTTAGCTGCAAAACTGCTCATATGATTTTAAATTTTTGCCTTGTAATCAGCTGCATAGCATTCAGTTATATCAAGCACCATGTCAACAGTGGCATTTAAATTATAGCCTGTCATATTTCATTGTTCATACCCCAGTGCATCATGGGAATAGCTGAGTCATAATAAATAGGATAGTATCTTGATACTACAATAGGTAAGGAATATAGTACCACAAGGTCTAATCTGCAATGGCTCCACAAACTAATCTACATATCCCTGCAGGGTTAATCAATCTGCTAGCAGCCAGCAGTGAAGCAGTGTTTTACGAGGTTTCACTAGTATTGATTGCTATTTACATTATTCCTAGGGCCTAAGTCTTTCTATAGAGGATTGGGAAAACATATGGATTGATCACCGAGTCTTCTTACTAATTTACTCTACATGCATAATCAAATAAATACAAAAAATACACTGTATGCATTAATATAACAGTGCTGGTGTAATTGTACTCCAACATCGATCAAATATATTAAAAATGAAAAATTTCCCCAAAGATCAAAAAACCCATTCAAGAAAAATAAACCATACTCAGAGCAAAATTTAAATGAAATGGCATGAATGACAGGTCAAAGGTCATGTGCACAACATATTTTTAAATCTAAACCAACTGAGGCATTTCTAATCGAATAGATTGTAGATATAGATAGCAATGTGTACTGTAAGGTTAATGACATACTCATACAGTCATGGCAGCCAAGCAATGATGGCAAGGAATAAACAATTAGGTTAGGAGTAAAGCTGATATTGCTATATACATGTATATAAGGAACAAAGACAATTCCTGAATTTCAAATACAATGAAATTTTGCTCTATTAAAAGCACATCTATAATAGAAACACACATAAACTAAAAATTTCATTTATTGCAAGCTGAATCATTAAAATGGGACTTATTTTGACCACAGAACTTTGTCATTTTTACCCGAGTGCATATGCTACTAATAGAAAAATTATTGTAGACAATTAATAGCCTGTTTTGGAAAAAAATCTGTTATTGGTCAGGCCTCAGTTGCAGAATATGAACACCATCAACTAGGCTAGTCAAGAGGTTCATTTGTTAGGAAAGTGGTTGTCAAGACAACAAAGCAAAAATCAAGGTTATGCAAACAGACACCTGTCCTATAAATAAGATTTCAGTTAATATAAAGCAAAATAAACCAGCCAGTAAGAAATCTACATTATACATGGTGAAAGCAAATAATCAATACATGGTCTGAGAAAAAACAAAAAAACAATTGTAACGATTGTTCAAATGTGCCAACATTAAAACTAAAGCCAGCACTTACATGTGTAAGTTTATAAGAATCATTGAGGAATGTAATCAACACAAATTGATTTTACTCTGTAGGATACTGATTTGATATTTCCGGTAATGACATCAATAAAATATTATGTTACATGAATCAGACAAACGTTCAGAACATTACTGATTATTATTAAATATTTTCATCATATCATCATTCTGGTACCAACACAACATGGATTCTTTTCTCATTGTACATCAACACAGTGAATTCTAACACCATGGGATGCACACTTTTCATGAAGAAATTATCGATACCTAGTTGTGTTTTCCATATTAACAGAATGCTTCCTGAAAGCGCCACAAACACACAAAAGCCAATTTGGGGGGAAAGGGCAGGCAATGTGTTAAACGGGATATTTCTAAACACACACACACACCCCTTTCTATCTCTCCCAACTTGAGTCGGTAAATAGATACTGGTAGTGACCTGACATCAGTACTGGAGTGGTGAGTACATATCAGAAATTAGGACAATATGAGGTTATTACGAGAATATAGTACAGCTGGAGTATCGACCGACGAGAGGATGCTTACGCACGTAATCAATCCATATTTGGAATTCGCATTTCCTTATATGATAGGATGAAAATACCGCAAAATTACGGCATGCTGTGACAGATGTATAATAATGACAATTATTTTGATTTCAAACAACTGAAAATGTAACTAGAGTCCTTACCTCTTGTATATGGCCAACAATAGCATGCTGAACATCAATATCCAATTGCTTTATTTTCTCAATAAATACTTCTTTTCTTTCGCACTGTACAGCACAACCCAACATTAAAAGTAATAACTTATGAAGTTCTCGTACACTGGTCTCACTGTCTGGTTCTTTTGCTATAGCCAGGATATTAGGTAAACTCATCACAATCAATTGCTGCAGTATATCCTACAAAACAAAAAGAAAAAAGTTACCCAATAATCTTCACTATCATTCACTGCTAATTTTTTACAAGTTAAATAAAACTGAAAATAATACAAGGTTTCAGTTCTGATACAGAAGAAATAATCAAACTAAAACTGGGTTTTTAGTTTTTCCCCTATAGCATTATGATTCAAGATGGTGGACATTTTATGTACATCTGGGGAGAAAATACCAAGATGGACAAATTTCTGGAAAGATTGACTGCATTTACCACCACCCACACTTAATAACATATTTGTAACATGTTGTTAATTATGTTTTAAAGAATGCTGATAAGGAAGCACAAGAGAGCATCAAAGAATAGTCGACAGTTTAATTTCTATGATTTGATGATTTCAAATTTGCTGCGACTCAGATTCTTTATAGTTATCATCCTACAAGACTTTGTGATTTTCAATGACAGATGAAACTCACAAAAATGTGATTCTAGTGAAATTAAAATGATTTACTGTATGTAGCAGGAATCAGCTGATAGCAGAACAAAGATTGCAATGCAGAACAAAGGTATGGAAAGCACAACAAAGCAGATAGTTTTCATTGTTGTAAACTTGATAGCAAGGTTAACTATCAATTCATTAGACAATTCGCCTTGCATTCCAGACTCTCCTAACATTATACTGCGTAGACGCTGAATGTGAATGCATCTCTCTCAATTCATATTTATAACCTATATCCATGCGGGTCAAAGTCAATGTGATGAATCTTAAGTTAAAAATAGGTTACTTACAATAGTGAACTGATATAGCATTTGTTTTAAATGTCGTCACTAGGCATTATGTTATGCGATTTATGAAGAAGTTTGATTTGGAGAAATAAATCATGAGTAAACAATAACGAAAATAATGACATGTGCATTTATAACTATTGTGACATTGAAATAATTTCTCAAGCACTTAGTTTAGGCAAAATCACAGCTAAGTAACTAAGCTGGGATTGGAAGTAACGAAGTTGGTATGGGAAGTAACTAAGTTGAGATTGGAAGTAACCAAGTTGAGATTGGAAGTAACCAAGTTGGAATGAGAAGTAACTAAGTTGGGATGGGAAGTAACCAAGTTGGGATGGGAAGTAACCAAGTTGGGATGGGAAGTAACCAAGTTGGGATGGGAAGTAACCAAGTTGGGATGGGAAGTAACCAAGTTGGGATCAGAAGTAACCAAGTTGGGATCAGAAGTAACCAAGTTGGGATTGGAAGTAACCAAGTTGGGATTGGAAGTAACTAAGTTGGGATTGGAAGTAACCAAGTTGAGATTGAAAGTAACCAAGTTGAGATTGGAAGTAACCAAGTTGAGATTGGAAGTAACTAAGTTGGGATTGGAAGTAACTAAGTTGGGATTGGAAGTAACTAAGTTGGGATTGGAAGTAACTAAGTTGGGATTGGAAGTAACTAAGTTGGGGTGGGAAGTAACTAAGTTGGGGTGGGAAGTAACCAAGTTGGGATTGGAAGTAACCAAGTTGGGATTGGAATGGGAA